TATTTGTTTTTTCTGCACTGCATGCAGGATTACTCCAGCACTCCCCGCAACTGTAGCTCATAATAAAAGATGTCAAATCCAGCTATGGTTTGCTAGAGCCACATGTGAGCGCTGCCCAAAGCTTGTATTTGTTTATTCTACTTCTCCGCTCAGCCTCCCTCGCCTCCTAGGCAGCCAGCAGGAGAGGACTGTCTCTTTAGACCCAGGGCTTAACTAAGAGGTGATATATAAAGCTGAGCCATATAATAGCACCCCCGCAGTAAGTACAGCACCCAAGGACGCTCCTTACAGGCTCCGATTACAGCCCTCCCTTTGCCTTAGGGTTAATAATTTGCTGCTGGTCTATTTTGGTAACATGCTCTGGCACCTTCCCGCTGGCAGAGCCGCAGCAGCCCCTGGGACCGGGCTCCAGAGCCGCCCGAGCACCCTGGGGATGCCAGAAGCTCCCAGTCTGAGAGGCTGTGCCGGAATGCGGCTTGAGGAAAGCAGACAACACGTGTTCCCCGCAAAAGCTTTGTGCTTCTGGCAGGTGAACATTATGGTAACAGAATTAGAGAAGCATGAAAAGAAAAGGCAAACTCTATTTGATCGGGCAATTGGTCCACACTGCTCACAGAAACAAGTTTTCCAGAGTCTAGCCTGATCTAATAGTGCAAGTCCCACTCCCCCCCACCCCCAAAATCATATTTTCATCAAAATTACCCTCAGGTTTGCCTTCTGTAATTTCATGCTGTTACTCTGCTTGCCATGGCAGAAAACATGAAATTTCATCTCTATTCCTGAATCTAAGATACGCAACAGAAAGCTCAATGTTAGGAAGAAACTTTAATAACAAAATATTTTTTTAGAAATTACTTCTACATCACAGCTATTGATTTATTAAATAGAATAGAGCTAGTCTGTCTAAATATGAAAGTAAAACTATCTTAGAAACGTTTTATGTTCCTGATTTTATAGACACCTATAACAAGCTGCTTCTAGATGAAAATAAAGAAAGATGAATTCAATATAGTAAGAAAACAGAACAGAAGCAAAGCAAACCAAAACCTTACCCTGAGTCTTTTGGCACACAAACCCATAATTTTTCTGACAGTTTTCCAAGTACCATTTTCCCGTAAAATAAAAATTAGGGTTATTTGATACCAATGTGCATAGTGGAAGCTGTTCCTGAATGTTTGCACTGTTATAACGCTGTCTCTGCAATCAACACAGAACCTTATATTAATTAAAAAAGACACCGTGTAAAAACAATGCATTATTATTACATTAAATTTAGAAGAATAATTATCTGAAAGTCACTATTATAAATATTTAGGTAGAACAATGAACATTCCCATAAACACAATTTGAAACAACAACCCCATAATAAAAAAAGTCACAAGCTTCCACTGAACAAACTAAAATGCTAAGCCCAATACGGACTAATGTAGTGTAAAATAATATATTAAAATATGAAATTCATAATCTTCCTAAATTTGCTCAGACCCAGCATATGATACTAACTATATAACTCAAAATTTGGTGCTTAAAAGCAATTGCAAAAGAATGTGACTATAGCCACAAATTACATAAAGAACTGTCTCAATAGTGCCTTTTTTTTATGACCATAAATCTGTGCCCATGGTTCTCTAAAGTTCCAAAAATGAAGAGAAGACTAAGTTGCTGTAACAAGTTAGGCCTTGTCTTTGTGGCAGTCATGATTTTTACGGAAAAAACAACTTCTCACTGTCCTTAAACCCCCTGGAAATACTCACATCCACTACTTCAACTGGAGACCAGTTGGAATACATTGGAGGATTTTCATTCACCCATTTTTCATAATCATCACTCTGGAAACCTATCCAAACACTAGTTTTCCGTCCAAATAGATTCATGGTTATGAAAGCTGGAAAACAAAACAGGAATAAAATATAATTAACTGGTAGCCACTTAGGGATAGATGAAGTGTCTTCCAACACACTAAAGCACTGAAAAAAATTAATTACTAAGCAATGACATTATGCAGTTACTAGAAAGTAAGAACATCAGCCGCATTTCAGTGACACCTAACTACAAATTCCGTTACATTGATTAACTTCAGTTGGGTTAGGATCTAGCCCATTAACTAATAAGTTTTCCAGAAACGCTCACAGCAGCTTGAACAACTTAAGTATTAGTTCAGGGTACCGTCCCACTGAAAAAGCTTTTCTCAGTTTTAGCTGAAAATCAGATTTCTCAACTAAAGATAGCCAGTGAGATTCCTCCCACCTCCAAGTAGGTGGTTTTACAAATGTATGAAATTCAACCACAGATTTTTATGAATAGGGATTATAATTATTTCCGAATGTGCTGGCATTTATTTCTGACAGTTCCAGCCTAGCGCCATGCTTATGTGCTATACAACAGATCAGATTTTAAGTACTATTAAAGGACAGAAATGAGACTGCTTTTATAACAGTGTGATGTTGCATTCATAAGCTAGAAATTTTACATAGCAAATTTTTAAATGGTCATTCCATTACTTTTTTGTATTTCTAATGCATGGTAGTAAGCACAAAAGAAATTATAATTACTCCTCAAAAGGTACCAGTCATATAGCTCAGTGAATATATGCATCTTTACATTTTGGGAAACTGGGAAAGAGAAATACTATTTTGTTTAAAGCAGTGGAACCCTGAGTAGGGTCTGAGCAATCTTTTTTCCTAAATCTGTATCCAAGATTAAATTTTACTACAGCATCCTAATGAAGATGAAATTTTATTTATTTAACAATATTTTCAGTATTCTACCTTGTTCTAGTTCATCTTCGAGGGAAGCAAGTGACCCATCATAGCTACTGCAAAACTCTTGTGCAGAGTACCAGTTTCTCAGATGCTCTGGATCCTTTGGGATTTGTATCAAAAAACACTGTTAAAAAAAAAAAAAAGGCTTGTTTTGGTTTTTTCCCAGTTTAAAAGCTATAAATCACTAAGAGTGATCACACACTGTTACTGAAAACTAAATATGTCATTAGTTTCTGTCCTGCAATGGACCTCTCCAACATGCTTGGTAGCAGTTTGCAGCTGCGATCAGGCTTGGATTCAAATCAGTTGTTTAAAGGCAAACACAATCTGGGTTAAATTTATCCTTGTAGTCACTGCAGTTTAGCACTGGGATAAATCCAGCCACCTCAATGCATGTTGCTATTACAGAACGCATGTATTTAAGAGAAGCTTGATGAAATAATTGCCTTTTGACCTTCAATTGGAAATAGACTTTGGTTTATAGATGAACCCTATTTGAAACAGCATCTTTTGGAGAATGACAGCAGTTAGGGACTGTTTATAGAATCATCGAATCGTTTAGGTTGGAAAAGACCTTTAAGATCATCCAGTCCAACCATTAACCTAACATTACCAAGTCCACACTAAACCAATTAAGGGTAGACTAGACTAAACCATGTCCCAAAGTGCCACGTCTACCCGTTTTTTGAACGCTTCCAGGCATGGTGACTCCACCCCCTCTCTGGGCAGCCTGTTCCAATGCTTGACTACCCTTTCCGTGAAGAAATTTTTCCTAACACCCAACCTAAACCTCCCCTTGTTTAGTACAAGAAGGGGGTCAGAGATCTGTTTTGAGACCATAAAGACTCTCAGAATTGTCGTAAGTGGAAAAGAGAGGATGGAATAGGGTTTTTACAGCCAAAGCACAAATACACTTAGCTAGCTTCTGCATATATGAGTATTCATTTCCTTCAACTAAAGTAAAATTTTTGACACCTTATTAAGACAACTTCCATGTGCAAAGCTACTTAATAGCTGTAAACCTTTGTATCACTGTCAGTAGTTATAAACCTAAGGGCCCTGCTTTCAAAAAGGAGGAAAATCTTTAAATATCGAATAATCCTTAATAACTCCAATTTCTGTCATAATTATAGAAGGCATTTTGAATAATCAAATAGCAGAAAAAAATGTTTTACTTTGAATCCAAAGTGCAACCAGCCTTTAGGACATATTCCTTGTTGGTTGTGGTCTTTTGGAATCTCTTTCTCTATTTTCCATGCAAATTTACGTTTACAAATACAGGGAAGAGAGACAGTACAGTTTTCATCACCCCAGAGTCCTGTGTAAAAAGAAAAATCACAGTTCAACATTGGCTTGAGAACTGGAAAGGGTTTTTTTCTTAGCTAGCTTACATATTGTTAAGAAGGGTACCCATTAGTGGTTGAGTAAGACAAGATTCTACATCAAACACATTTGGACATACTGCATTACAGTGGATTCGATGGTCCATGGGGCTTATACTTTTATTTCCAGTTTGATTTTATGAAGTTAAACCCATTCCTCTACACTGAGTCACATAACATATGCCTGCATCATGTATTTAAAAAAATACTGGCTATGCAAAAAAAAAAAAAAAAAAAAAAAAAAAAAAATACAATGTACAGACATGATGCCTTTCAGATAAAATAGTTTGACTTCCTTACATTGAAAATTTTTGGCAAGATCCAGGTACTGACATAAACCACTGACCTGCTTAGGAGGAAAGTACATTTTTCAGTGGAACACAGTGCACTCGACAAGTTGTTGACCAGCTCCCATCTGCTGGCCAGCTGAGGGGGGAGGGTGGGCAACTCTTCCTTTTATCCAATGCTAACTATAGTAACACCAAACTCAAGCACTTGAAAGTCATGAATCAAAACCCCAACATTATGTGTGGAAAAAAAGAAGGGTATACATTTTCTCAATTTTGGTTTTTGAGGCTGAGATTATAAGATTACAACTGGATTAATTTTTTTCAGCCCTTCTGATAAATACAAAGCTGGATGTTTTTTCTTTCTATGGAACCTGACAGTTTACTATGACTTGAAGATATTCAGAAAACAGAGACTGTGAGATGACAGAAATCACTGGAATCAGCAGCACTGCATTTTTTTTTGTTACTGTAGCAAAATATAGAGCTATGTGATGATGAAAAGGCTAGCACCAAAACCACGGTACCCAAAAATCCCCCAGCAGATTGGCTATGGGATCAAAAATAAGCTAGAAACCTGAGTATTTAAAGTTGTGTGCTCATAGAAAAACAGTTTATAAACGTAGGAAAAATTATTGCTCGTCCATCTGGCTCATCTGGTTATGAGAAAACTGACTCTGAAAACCAGCAATGCATTAACATTTTTGCTGTGCCACAAAACAGATTCTTAAGTAAAACTAAAGATTCTGTATCACTGGAATGTTTGTATTTTGACATTAGAGTACTGGAACTATTAAATCCTATAGCGTAGTCTCTGAGCATATTCATGATATTTTAATATTCTTAACCATAAAAGCAGCTATGCAAATTACAACCATGTGACAGGACTATGTAATACAGGACCATGTAATATGGATTGCATTTCTTGAAAGCAATTAGAATAAAACCCCTTTAGCCAACAACAGAATCAAGTCACAAGTCCTGCAACAAAAGGAAATTGTATAAAATAAACCTGTTTGTGATGAAATGAAGCCACATCTTTTCCCTGCTTTCTGTGGATCTCTCTCCCTCCCTTCATTCCAGTTCTGGTATGTTACTGGTGATTCATCTCTCCAGCTGCACAGAAATATTGAGAGTGTAGTTACACTTTTTCCTATCCTTAGCTAAAAATACAACCTCCATTAAAAGTGTTTGTAAGCAGATACAGGGTAGAAAGTGCCCCTTTATTAACTAAGCTTTAAAAAACCAGAAAACCACAAGGCTGATATTCATGTCTTTGGCTTGTATCTTTTATACCCTTTTAGAAGAAATACCATACCACGGAGATAAATGAAGGGTAATATATTCTGAATTATATTTACATGGGAACTGAAGTTGTCTCTTGAATATCCCACTCAGTCATCAAATGGTTTTACTGCATCAGACTGAATGGCAGCCTGTAAACAGAGCAGCTGAAGTGTAGGTATTCTTACCGAAATTCATTGCTGAGGTTCTCTGTGTGCAATCCAATCCACCAGTGAACATCACTATTCGATAGCTATAAAAAAAAAAAAAAAGATGTTTTGCCATATTTGCCACATTAACTGTTGTTGCCCTCTTATTAAAGCATTAACCCCTAAAATCAGGCTGTTTGTATTCAGATGAATAGCATCTCCATTGGGTTCCAATGGGAAGAACAGGTGCTAAATCCTGCCCATATTAATTTAATGTCTTCAGTAAGGTTATTCATGTAAGTAGAGCATGATTTAGCCCCCAGTTTCCACTGGATTGCTGATGTATCTTTTGTAAATTCGGAATTTACAGTTTTAGGAATTTACAGCCTATCTGGCTTGAAAAGGACTGTAGTCTTAGGCCAGATTTTGTTTTTCCCCTAACTCCTAAAAACAGCCAATAGCGAATATTTCCTTTTAGCATTAACATACTGCTGGTCCTTAATGATTCCAAAATGTTTTCTACGAACATTTACTGACTTTGTCTAGCCCATACAAGATATTCCTAGAGATGCTTTCCAGACTGATTGTTGTTCTCATGAAAGGGTCTAGACCTCCACTCCTAAAAGGCAAAGTATTATGGAAAAGTCACAGAAATAATGTAATTCAAACAGCCACTTATTATTGCTGTGCTGAGTTGATTCTGCCTTAAACTGGAACGGGCTTCACTTTCAGGGTTAGCCACTCAATAGTCACAGTTTTGGGGTCGTTGGGAAAGAGCCAACAACAAAAAAAAATGCTGCGAATGTGCAGGACACTGGAAAAGCCACCCTGCCTCTCAGAAGCATTTATTTTCTTCCAGAAAGAACTGAAGTGCAGCCTCTGTTGTGGCAGCCACGCTGTCCTTGGAGTTATAGTTAGGATTTCACCAGCTTACAGCTTATACAGCAATATCCAAGGAAGAAAATAGACATTTCTGACAAAAAGGAGACTCAGGAACGCTGTCTGATTTGGTATTGCCTAGCCCCTGAGTTTAGTTTTCTAATCACGACACTCAGCCTGCACATTACAGTTTTTAAAGGAATAGTGAAAAATGTGATTTCAAATTCCACGCTAAGAAGTTTTGACCAAGTTTTCTAGTGACACATGCAACGTCTATTCAGACTGCTGAGTATTATTTTAGTGATTGCCATCCTTACTCCTGCTTCCACAGGAAAATGGTTACAATCGCTTAGGGACACACTCGGCTATACTGGGAAGCTTAGCCAAAGGCAGCAGGCTTTAAAATAGCTGCATACGTTATATTCCGAGATGAAACTTCAAGGAAGTTATAAGCTATTTCTGGCGTAAATTGTTGGTTTAAATCCAGTTCATCATGTTTTGACACAAAATTACTTAAATAGCAGATAAAAATGACGAATAATTCCTTGGAAACTTAAAACCCCCATCTTAATACAACACAATTCTACTTATGCTTTCTATTATAAGCTAAAAGCAGAGGCGGCTGTACACAATGCAAGCAAAACTAAGCCAGTGTAGCTCGAGAGCTTTTCTACCCAGAACTATTTGTTCTTTTAAAGATTATGCTATGATATCCCTTTACATTACTGCTGTACAATTTTGCCTTCACTACGGCAGATTATTCAATTTTCTTTTATTTTCCTTATTTTGCTTTTACTGAGAACACCTGAAAGAAAACAGACTTGGTTTCTTGGGAATTCATCTGCTTCTGCAGCTATTTCTCAGCTTCAAATCTGTTACCTCAGAGTGGTTCTACAGAAATTCTGCTTTCATCCAGAGGAAGGAATTTAGAGACAGATGTCTTTTTTCCCCACATAAATATCCATAGTCACAAAGGGGTTTAATTCAGGAGATATCATACAAATGTGTGGACACATGGGAATGTTGCCCAACCTGGCATACACAGAGGAAAAGGTCATCTATTCTGCAAGGTCATAAGCACCCACTTCTATGGTTTAGAGCTCTAGATTTAATTAAGGTGCAGGGAAATTGGTAATTCTTCATTCTTGGCCAGCTCTCCCCAAGAGTAACCTTTCATATCATCACATTGACGATTTAAACGACAAAGACTGTTTCAAACATCTGGACTTACTGCCCACCTCATGCTAACACACCCATTGAAATGTCCCTCGGTATGCTGTCTCAAATCCAGCTGCAAGTTACTGAATGGGAATGGAGCATAACTGCGAAACTGCGCGGGATTAGGAGACATCCGGGTGGATGCAGAACCGGTGTGTGAACACCTGAGGAACCACAACGGGTCCCCTTGGTCATGGAGGAGTGGGGGAAGAAGAAGAAACAGAGAAGGATGTACGCCACATGTGAAACAAACCCTTCTCTTTACCCCCTAATTACTTTCGTAACTTTGGGATAGGAAGCTGGTTTTTGCTCCTCTTGGGTCTTTTGAGGCAGACTAAATGACCTGCTCATTGGCAGAGATGATTCTGCAGATTCTGAAATGTCACTGACTTCTTTAGCTAAACAGGGCTTCAGGGAGGGATTTGGGAAACAAAGATAGCAAGAGAATTATTTCTAAAGTAAAATGTCTTTCGGATTCTACCTGGAGCAACAGGCAGCCAGATATTCCAAAAGATGCAGCAGAAAATAGCCAGTTACTACCTGAGGGTTTATTTTTTCAAGGGGGTAGTTTTTGTTACCTTCTTAATTTTATTTTGAATAAAGGCTTGTTCACCAGAAGAATTTATTGTTGCCATTCCACTGCGAAGCCAGCCACAGACAAACTCATAGGTTTCCCAGTCCGTAGGACTGACATGGAAAAGATATTCTGCTCCTTGATAATATGACCACGGCAGCTCTAGAAAATGAGCAAAAGAGTCAGTGTGTGCAGGGGTAAAAATTTATTTCAAGTCTCATTCTTTGTGACCCCTGTGGCCCACCTTCAGCCACATCTCAGAGGACATATATGCCACAACTAACAGCAGAACCATATTTAGCATACCAATTTATGAAAAAAAAATTCACTATGCGTACATATTTTTTTAATATATTCTATCCCATGATACTGCAGTAATATTAAGATTGTTGCAAAAGGCAGTTTTAATGTGATGGAGAGGTTATCAAACTCCTGTGCTTATTACTGGCAACGTTCCTTTACCTAACTGAGGTAGTATCTGATGTTTCAGTGTTCCTAAACAAAAGAGTGGCAGATTTTGATCTGTAGCAACCAGTTCCTACAGAGTTCCTTAATGTAAATTTTTAACTCAGAACATTTCAGTTACTTCATTTTTACCAATGGCTTAAATTGTATTTCCAAGTCACAATGTTTCGTGATGTGAAAAAAGAAAATGTTTTCATACCAGCTATGTACCAATCCGGATTCTTTGGTTTAACACCTGCAAAAATACACAAATAAATGAAAACATTGCTGATTGAGAATGACAAGAGTTCTTTCACTGAAATTGCTTTCTCCACGTGGTAAGGATCTAATCAAAATCATGAAGAATATTGCTATTCTCGTTCAGGGACAAAAAAAAGGAGTTAAACATGGAATAAAAGAAAATAATTGCCACATTTACTGAACAACATTTTTAGTAACCTTTATAAATAAGAACTTTGATTAACTCCCGCTAACTAACTGCTAATCATTGCTATCCATATTAGACCTCTTAACTGGCCAGCAAACCCTAGTGTCCATATATAGCTTTGCCATGATTTCATGCAGAAGACCAATGAGGAGAACTCCAGATGTGGCTAAAAAGCAGGCCTTCAGGTATTTTTTTTCCTTGTCTCTCCTGGATTGCAAGTAATGGGTATAATAGACAATGTATGTTAATTAACATTTTACCTTTTGGTATTTTGCATATCCATTCACGCTTTTCATTGCAGTGTGCTGGAAAGACGGTTCTATTTACTTTGAACACACCACAGTTTCTTGAGTCATCTTCAATATACTTGCTCTCCAGAAATGAAGATACAACCTGAAAACAGCACATTCATTACCTTTCACTGACAATCCAAAATGAAGCATTTCAAAATCTCATCATGGAGAAAAAGGAAGGATTTGGAGATGCGTGTATAGTAAGAACATCATAAGCAACACTAGAGGATCACCTAAATTATGGCAGTATAATCCGAAAAAAAGGGTCCATAATCATGTTCTCTCAATGTCCTGTTCAACTCGTCCATCTTGTATCAGATGCCATCTTCGTAAAACTAATTGAGTAGCTATGAAACCTACCAATTTTTTGACATGATCAGCAGTAGTTGCCCCCATCTAACAGACTTTGCTTTGGTTCAACATGGCGCACGACTGAACTTTGCACTCGCATTCTGAAATGACTTAAGTAACAATGGCAGAGCTGGCACTGTTCTTTAAGGCTGAAAACCAATTACAGTTTAAAAACTGACCCTTCTTCAGTTGTTTGATGTTTAAATCCCAGGTACTAACCATTACTGTGGCATGTGGCACCAACATCTTCAAGGATGCAAAATCAAAAGTGGTATTAGAAAAGACTTAGCTCTGAATGCAGGCATGAACCTAACAGTCATAGAACAAATAAAGCCTGTAAGCACAGCTCTAAGGCTTTCCAGTGTGTGTGCATGTGTATATATGTACATATGTGTGTATACACACACGCGCACGCACGCACACACGTGTTCACTCTGCATATGCCTGGTCCTGGGCTAAACGCAATGTGCTTTGCAGGAGAGCACACATCTGCAAAACTTTATAATCGTACCCAATGCCTTTTGCAGTTGCAAAAGCCTTCTGCACAGGCTGCTATTTTAATAGTAGTGCACTATTAATCCTAGTGTAACAATTACTTTAAGTGAGGTATGTGGATACGAAAACCAAAGAGTTTTCCTGGCCAATATTTGCTCACAAGGCTCATTTTTGTCAACTTATGCTCAGATACGACTTGACAGATTACTGAAATATACAGTATACAGATAGTTACAGGTGTTTTGTCAGACCACTGCCATATCCCTCCTGAAAGCGGGTTTCTTTTGTTAAATCCAATCCAGAACTGTCTTTCTTCTGTCCTGTGATGGAAACAAAGAAAATAACATTTCTCATGCACTTTTTCCCTAGCTATTTCAGAAATTATTTTTTAAATAGTGCAAATACCCATATTCATTTCTTCTTGAATTCAATATATCAATATTCAATATATGTAATACATTTCTTAACTTTTTAGTATCCTTGAAGTAAACTATGGTTTTCCTACTAAAATGCTGAATTATATTTTTAAAGATGAAAACAGTTAAAATAGGATTAAAATTGTTGAACCTCCACTTCAACGGGGAATGTTAACTCGCAAGAATATCACCTTGATATTAACAGTTGCTCGACATCTACTACAAAGATCATCTTCAAAAAAAATCACATTACAGTGTTGCTAATACACTTCTTTTCACTCATTTCTAAGTTCATGTTAGAGTAGAGACTTCTTCAGCCACTAGTAAAGAGGATGGAAGAACCTAAATTGTAGATTATTTTTACATATTAGTATGATTAAGATAAATCCTGCTGGTGTTAAAAAATATATTTACCTATCAAAAATTGTATATAATAAATTGTTTAAAAATGTCTCTTCATAGACATGGCTAAAACTAGCAAGATGTGCTCCAAAATCTTGGCATAATGCTTCTGCTTCATCCCATGTTCTTCTCATCAGAACTTTTTCGTTGTGAAATATCTGCAATAAAATAAACACTGTCATAAATGTAGTTGATTTTGGAGAGCAGTTGTTACAGAAACCCATAAATCAAATACTGTTCTCAGTTTTCCCTACAGAAAAGCCATGTATAGTTCTGATCCTTAAGACTTTCACTCACTTCAAAATGCAATGAAGGATGGTAACGATTAATTTTTGTTTGTTGAGTGGAAGAAATAATGCTTTATCAAAAATATTTTAGGAAGTGTGTATCCCTAAGCTGATGTACAATCAGAAAAATTCAAAGCAAGTTTGTCACGTACCTTGTAACAGTTGAGCAGATTAGCTTCTGACTCCCATCCAAAATAGCAGGAACTCAAATGTTTTTGAAAAGTAAGTTCAGGTTCTTCATAAGAGTTGATTTTTTGCTTGCACAATGACATTGCTTGGAAGCTCTTACAGCTTTTCACCTCCCAGTAACCAACGGGGTGCTGCCCTCGCATGGCCACACATCCTCCGGAATGACCTAGACATGGGAGTAAGTGTTGAGTATCAGAATAAAGCATTTGAATTTTGTGATTTTTTTGGTGAAGTGACTGCTTTATTGGCATCAGGTTCTGGATAAAATCTCGATGAACTTACAAAAGCAGCAAACTCTCTGGTCAGCGCCCAGCTTATAAGCCTGTCTTGGCTGACTTGAGCTTGTAAAATGAACTATGATGAAGGGCTCCTCTCACAACATGCAGGAGATGAAATGCAATTTAAAATAGTGCTTTTGCAAACTGTAGTAGTAAAGCAATAAATGTAAAGAGTCCAAAACTAAGAAGCAATCAGCGAAATGGAGTCTTTATTACTATGTCTCTATTCTCAGGTATTGCTAAGAGGTTTACATTTCAAAGGTTGAACAACTATTTCATTTTTGGGGGGTTTGTTTGTTTGTTTGTTTTCTTGGAATGTTTGCCTTTGGATTACTATAGAACAAACAAAATCAAACAAGCAAACCAAGTATCAGCACACCAAAGGAGAAGAAGAAACTTCCACACAGTGCTCTTATTGACAGAAATGTATCTAAGGCAATCTCTACCCTCTTTTTCTTCATATCAAATGCAAATTACAAACTGTGACTGTTACTGAATAAAATTCATGACTTCTCTGGGACCTTTTGCTGGGAGTCTCAGGAAGCTCTGATGGCCTCCTTGAAAAGGCCATAAAGAAATGTATGAAAACCATCTCACAGAAAAAGAAAAATTTCAGGGATTAGCTGTGTCTGCAAGGAAAGCATGGCTATTGATTTTCCCCCTGCCACACCGGAGAGCGGGAAGAGTGACAGCACCCGGGTGGAAAGCAGGGAAGGAAGCTCCGGCTTCTCCACAACTGCCAGCTCATCTAACTCAGTCCATGGTAGGAAGTTACCGAGTTGACGGAAAATGTAAGCTTATCTCTCTGCTCTCTTGACCAGGCAGGCAGGAAAGGACCGGGACTCTTCGGTCACTGCGAAGCCACTGCTGGCAGGGGGAAAAGAGCACAATGCCCCCCTCCAAGCCATTTCTTTTTTTATCGGCATGTTACTCACGTGGCTGGTACTTGTTCCAGTTTGTGTAGCTCACAGAGCGATTCTTCCCCGCTGTACTTAGCCAAAAGTATTCTCCTGTGTTGTTAAGGTCTTGCAATCCTATCCAAAAATAAGTTCTCTCAGATTTCACCATGCTACGGATCATGCTGTTGATAAAAGCTTGTTCAAACCTTCATAAAATAATAAAGACAAGAAGCTTATTAGAATAAAATAGGTCAACTGGTATTTCAGTGAATAGCGCTCATGAAATGATTTAAATTATGCGAGAAAAGTATATAAGAGGTATTTAATTTTCTTTATAGAATGCTGTGGGGAACTTCAGGCACAAGTCTGTAGCGTAAACCACAATTTTTCCCTTTTTTTTTTTTCAGCATTTGGGCACATAGAAACAGTAGATTAAGATCTTATAAGCTCAATGCTTGAACTACAAGATGTAAAGACAGAATATATTAATGATGCACAAATAAAAATCAGAAACTCCTTGTACGAAGGAGAAAAGGTAGTGGGCTCTGAAAAAGCTACAGGAGAAAGAAAAGAAAAAGCTCTGCACAGAAGTATCCTACTGGAACCGGACACACAAACTAGCACTAAGAAACTGGAGCTGAAGCACTCAAAGCACTAGCTGATCTAACTACAGAAGGAATCACTTTTTCCTTCTTTAATTTCTTCATTAAAGTTATGTGAGAGATGTACACCTTTTTGCAAGTAATAATTGTTGCATATAGTAACCCATTTGTCACTTAAATGTAATTTATTCAGACATAATCGGTAAAGCATTATACAAAAATGCTTCAGTTTATGAGCACATTTAATCAGCTTCCTATGAAAATATATACAGCAAAGTAAATTCCCAGTTTGATAAAGACTTATATGACTTCTTGGTTTCACACACAGTGAAAAGAACAGCTAAATACCATAAGGATGACATTAACATAAAAAAATGGAATGTATCTGTAACACTGAGAGTGACTGAGAACTTCCATTTAATTTTCACTTCCTCTGCATGTTCTCTTTTTATTATCAACTCTCCTTCCTCTACAATCTACTTCATTAAAAATGAATATTTTAGGATCAGTACACTGAAAAGTTTTTGCATTTTTCAAACTAGAACAACAAACCTCAGCAGCAATTAAAAAAAAAAGCTAAACTAACAACTAGCTTGCTTTGCCAGTCCTACACTGGAACTGGGAACTAACATAATAAACAGTGACGGCTACACTCAGCAAAAATCAAATAAAAAGAAATAAGCAGAAAAAGACAGAATATGTGCTTCCAGTGATGTGCAGCGTGTCCTCAGCTCCCTGTGACATTTGAGCTGCAAACGCTCGGGTGCGAGAATTCATCCTTTATCCTCCCGGTAAGGATTACTGTCATGCTGCAGTACAGCACTGTATGCATTGTGCACAATCCTGAAACCATCTGGAAGGCCAAATTCCCATCGATATAAATCCTTATGTGGGGTAGCCTGTGTTTTCTTAAAATTTCTAGCTATCATTCCTCTGATTGCTAGTAGTTACAGCACTTCCCCCGTCCTAAACATGTAGAGATGGCACTTTGGGACATGGTTTAGTGGACATGGTGGTGTTGGGTTGATGGTTGGACTGATGATCTCAGAGATCCTTTCCAACCTTAATGATTCCTAGTTTTTACTTTCATTAAAAATAATCCAGCCACCAAGCCAGGAAACTTGAAATTATTACTCTACCCTTAACTGGTTTAGTGATGGACTTGGTAGTGTTAGGTTAATGGTTGGACTGGATGATCTTAAAGGTCTTTTCCAACCTAAATGATTCTATGATTCTAAAGGGAGGGGAGATTTCCTTAAGGTTTGGGTTTGTTGTTTTGTTTTGTTTTTTTTTTTTTTTTACAATAAATACATGGAGGTTTAAGTATGTATGTAATATATCTATCAGTATGTCATAAACTTTAATGGGAATCCAACATCTAGGGTAAATCACAAAGATATCAGAGAAAACCCAAGCATCTGGACATCTGCAGAGGAGAAAGCCTTTGCTGAAGCTGGAATACAGGTAAATAGGAACAAAGCAAGGGAAGACAGACCTCAAATGCATTCAAACTTTTACTCTCTCCCCGTTTGCTGAGAACTCACATAAAATGCTAATACATAAGTAGAAACATTTATCAAACATTAACTGATTTGGATTAAAATTTGAAATATTTTGATTATAAAAATTAAATATATTTTCATTTTTCAGTATAGTTTCCAAGTACACTAGTAAAGTTTCTTGAAGATGTTACATACCTCTGTAGACAGCATTTTGTTTAGATTCCTGCACGCTCACGTGTGCACATTGCTGTAAGTGTTTATTAGCCTAACGATTGCTTTTTACTAAATTTATTTTCAATTAAAAAAATGAAGCAAAGCGCACCTTTGATTTTAGCCAATGTTAGTAATTATGCTCACCTCTCACACAAATATTATTTCATAACGGTAATATCTTTTGCCATGCAACACTTTCTAAAGTTAGAATAGCTCTTGTTAGAGGTATCTTCACGCTGTCTAATAGGATTAACTACCTGTTTGTTACTGATACAAGTGCAGATGGGCAGAAATAACCACTGGAAGCATGTTCAAAACTTCGAGGGGTACTGTCGATTTTGTAACAATATCCACCATGTCTTTCCCATCCCTTAAAAGAAATGAACATTATTTTATAGATTATTAATTATTATATAGTTAAAAACTTGATCCCCTTTTATAGTTTGTTTGATCATCACTGATGTCCCTATAGTTCTTCTCCTTTTTACTGTGGTTCAAGACTAGTTACCCTCAAGGTCACTGAAAACGTGGTAAATTTAACAAAAGTTTAAAGTTTAAATCCTTAAATTGTGCAAAAACTGGCTTAACACACACACACACACACGGTAACATGTGGCAACAGTTAAAGCACTCTCCCCACATAGTACTTCCAATTTTATACTTTGAATGTTGTTTTACTGACTGAGTTTTGGGGAGGTATGCCAGGCCCCTCAGCCAGCCATCTCTTCGGCATGAAGCGTGTAGTAGCACTTGCTGGTTTCCACCCATAACTCATTGCTGATATCTAATACCTGAAGTGCAGGGCAAACACTGCCATGTCAGATTCATTTAAGTTGTTATAAAAGAGGATTACAGCTGCCCTTTGTCTTCAACTGTAAACAGAAATATTTACTCCAGAAATCGCGGGCCTTTCATACAGCAATGCACTCTAGTGATTTACCTTTTCTCAGCTCCCTTTCTCATTTTCAAATAGAACTTCCAAATTTAAAAAAAAAAAAAAAATTTACAATCATCCTATTTTAATAACGCAGAATTAAAATTACACATTTTCATGGTTTATCAGATGAGCCAGAACACTGAGTCTATGGCCAGCGTGCCTCATTTCTTCTTATTATTAATCTTTTATTTCCTACTATTCATCTCTGGGTGTCCAGAAGACGCTACCAGGACTGGTGTGAATTCTGCCTGTGTGAGTTCACGTGGTGTACCTGCCTGGTTGTCCTGCTTGAGTGTTTTAAATGATCAAGAGAATAATGAAATAATGAACGGTCTCTGTCTAAACTTGAAGCCACACACAGACAGAAGAACCAGTCGATCTCGCTTTGCCTCTTCCCGGCGGGAGGTGCTCACAAAGCAGCACAGCAGGGCACAAGCACAGCACCCAGGTGGGCACCATCAAGCAGCGCTTGACGGTGACATTAACAGCAAAAGGAGAAAAAAGGGGAAACAGATAAGCTCTTTTTCTGTTATCCATCCTCAGGTACAATAAAACGCACAAGAAGATGCTGCAAACCTATTCAGGCCAGCAATCAAACACTATGCACATCCTTCAGCCCTGCTGAATATGGGGAGGCAAATTTCAGCTTTTAGTCAGGAGTGTGTTTGCTGTCAGGGTAGCTGACAGCTCTGCTGCCTTTTACTGTCATCCCCCTTCAGTGCTTGGAAGATGGCTGGGCTCAGCCCTTCCTATGGACGCAAGCACAGAAGCAAAATGAGCTGTAGTATCTGTAAAAACTATCTGTATAGTATTTCTGTGGTTTCACCTGAGAACAACACATATGCATTGCTCAGACGCTGGCTTTGCAAACAAAAATAAACTGGATTGAGGCTCTTCCCTATCTCCGTACCAACGAGCTGGGAATTCCCCACGGAAAAAATGTGTTGGGAGGTGCCGAGGGCTCTGCAGCGCCCAGGGACCCAGCGGGCTCCCGGCAGTCCCGCAGGGGATGCAGCAAAGCTGCTTTCATTTGATATGCACTGAAACTTGGGGAAGTGGGGGCTGGAAGAGGGCTAAGTATCAACCGAAAAACCCTCTATGGGGACGCAGGTAAAGAAACAGCAAATGCCTGGTTTCCTTCAACTGGAATTCTTGAGTGATAAATGCACTGGTTCGAATGAAGCAAACACAATCATCCTAACCTCTTGGAAATTTTAATCTGGAGCAAATGGCACTGCATAAGCTTCCTCTTAAAGCTGTCTTGATGCCTAAAGACTGGAGTAAAGTAATTTGACGCTAATCTTTACTTTAAAAAAAAAAAAGAAATTGTGGAGTAACTGGAGGCTGGTAAGCTTGCATGAGGGCAAGCACAGATTGAGAAATTCCAAACTTAAAAGGCTGAGTACTTGGTCAATAAAATGGCAGAAGGCATTCTCTACAGATAAATATGAAGTGATGCACATGGGGACCTCCCCTGCACCCCCCAATCATTTCATGTCTGAAGTGAGGGACACCTATTTCACTCCCACCGTGCAGGAATGAGATTTGGGGGTTATGATGGTTAAGTTTCATGAAACAACTCAGTCAAAAAGTCAAATTGAACCTTAAAAATTTTGAAAAGAGAAAGAACCGAGAAGGTTACTCTGACCACATTTTACCATTTTTTTGTAGTTCTGACCCCCAACCTCAGAAAAGGACATTAGAAAAGAAGGGCATCAAGGATGAGGAAATGTATGGAGCTGCTTCCAAATAAGCAGTAACTGAGCAGGCTGGGACTCTTCAGCCTGGAAAAAGGAGATGCCTTTGGGAGGGTATGACACAGGTCTACAAAATGGTGAGTGCCATGAAGGTGGGCCACTACTTCAGTACAAGACCTTGGGGATGACAAACAAAGCTAAGCTAGCAGGAGGAAGGTTCAACATGGAAAGAAGATGGCATTTTTTCATTCAAAGGGTAGTAGATTTATAGATCTCCTCACTAAGTAATGTTGTGAATGCAAAGAGTTCGCATGAGTTCAAGGGGAAACCGGACAAACACTTGGAGGTGATACCCAATGCAGGCTGTTAGACACACCAATCTTAAAAGGCTCAGGAAATCCCCTGAAAGGTTGGGGGTCAAGGGAGAACTGGGGGAAGCGTTATCCATATTTGCCCTGCCCTGCTCTTCCCCAAACACCACTTGCAGCCACCTGCGGGAGGCAGAACACGAGGCCGAATGCACCCTTATCCTCAGCAGCTGCCCTTCTGCTCTTTATGAGGTTTTGTAACCTTAATAGCAATTCTCTTCTAAGAAGTACAATTCTCTCCTGTTACAACAGCCATAAAGACAAATGCTCAATTCAGTACTATACTGTTCTCTTTTGATGCACTAATTAAAGTGTAGAGGACCAGAGAAAGTCACGGGTACAAACACAGTCAGTTCTGCACACAGAAACCTCCAACTCGATTATCAAGCAGCTGACAGCTCCACAACATGTTTCAAAAGCTGGTTTAAAGAAAATGTTTAAAACTGTTATTTCAGTGTTGGGGAAAACTGCCCAGAGAATCTGACCTTTGCAATAAAATATTTATACTAATAGACTGCTGACTAGGAAAAAAGAGTAGTTGACCGGCTAAGGGAAGAAAGTGCTTAGCACTTTTTATGTCTTAGGATGATAGTAGTGTAGGAAAAAAAGAGCTCAGGTTTCTGGTAACTTGATATGGACATAGTGCAAAAACTGCAATCAGCAGAACCACATAAAATGTTAAAGGCTAGTTCATCCGATGCACAAGTCATAAAATCAACATGAAATGAAAGCTCAGTAATAACACATAAGACTGTAAAGCTTTAGAAAAGCAAACAACTGTGCCCAAGGCCAAAGCTCCCTGAGAATCTACTAGCAATCCACCATGAATGATAGTACGAGGTTAACGAAGCAAAAGATCAAATGTGAGAAATGCCAATAGATATTCTGTATGTTTAAGGTAAGTCAGCAACAGAAAATCGGGGAAAAAAAGGTAAATCTGGATGAAATAAAGACTTAGCACTGGAAAATTAGGCCAATAACTAGCAACAGCATGTACACGGAACGTTAAAAGAAAGTGAGTTGTCAAGAAAAAATGTCTGAAATCAAATGTAGTTTTAAGTAAGCGTAGTACTGACCTTTTTTCACTAAATGAATGTAACTTTTTTTACATTAGAAAGAAAAGGATCTATCGAAACCAAGCGACTATAAGAGGGCTCAGCATATGTTTTTACAGGGTATGAAACATCAACAAGCAGAAATTTATCCCAAGTAGGCAGTTTGCCAGAACAGACCAAACTACCTATGACCAGTGACGCAATCTCTTGAGTCTCGACCCTGTGAGGTACCAGAAGTTGAAGTGCTGTCAAGCTCCTGACTACAACTGGAAGTCTTGATGCTCTGCACATTTCTCACATGGTCAGGACTGTGACAAACCTTTCTTACACTAGTAACACACAGAATTCTTGAGTGATGAAATACATTGGTCCAAATGAAACAAATGCAGTTACCCTAAACTTCTGGAAATGTTAAGCTGGAACCAAGCAGTTAACTTCTGCTTCCATAATGGTATGACCAGAACACTGGATCTGACCACTGTACGTCTGGGGAAAGATACTCCAAACATCAGCTTCAACCTTCTTATAATTCAACTGAACTGGTTATGTTTCTTGACCGCTCAAGAAAAAGGATAGGAAATTAAAAAAGGAAGACAATGAGCGAAAGAGTAAAGCAAGTTAGAGAATAGAGATTTTTGTTGATAGAAAAAGAGGTTCACAAAACTCCTCCAGAGTTTTGAATAAAACACAAAGTCTACAAGTTTGCTCTTTTCACACTGCGAAAAGGAACCGATGGCAAATAAAACCATACTTTAACACGTTACCCTTTTACTACCAGAATGCAGTGCCTAAAAGCCTGAAAACCTGTTGCAATGTCCTGTTTAGATAGCTGCGCTCCTTCCCATTTGTGTTTGAAAGCAAAAGGAATGCTAATGTATGAGTGGAAGAGTTCACTCTCTGTGTCAATGAAACTGGTTGTTTTTCACCCTGACATTCCATTTCAATGTATGAAAACCATGTGTGGGATGAGGCATCATGTAACAGTCATTATTTGCACAGATGGTGGACAAAAGGGTTTTCACTTTTGATCTAGAAAGAAATAGAAACTTGGGTCACAACCGCTGACAACACAACAAGCCATGAAAGGCATCTTGGGAAAGCTTTTAATCTTACATTAAAATTTAGTTTACATACTTCTAAGGCAAACAGTGAGATTTTTCCCAGCAAAACATGCATGTCTTTAATATGAAAAACTGAAATTATCTATTTACATCCATATGTTCCACAGCTACATTTAGAGGTTTCCTATATAATTCTATTTTATTAGTAAGACTCTAAAACAAACAAAAACCACAAAACCCCTTACCTCTGGACAACTTGATTCCTGCTCAGGAGAGACATTATTAAATTCCCCTGCTTTTTTGCAAATGTAGAAAGATCTGTCTTCACATTTTTTAACCTTCCAGCGTCCCTCCTAAGGGATAAAAAGAAGTATATTCTGTGCATACTCATATTCTCATGCATATCTAGACACACATTAGATTACATTCCCTCCTCCTATTTTAACTTTTCAGCAAAAACAAGTCACTCTATTAATCTATTTTTCCTTAGATGGACCATTTATTTCTACCAACACTGTCAGCAGGACTTTTTGAATCAATCATACAAAAGGGTTTGTCTCTCTGAATCACTCTTTGGTATGCAATGCATCTTAACTAACACTATGGCCATGTCAGAGCACTTACTTTTCAGAACAGATGGGAACTTTCTTCCTATCTATTATAGTTCTTTTTAAGATTAATCTTTATATTTGAATAGTCCTTACTCAAGATATTAAAAAGTTTGTATGATATTAATTTTCAGACATCTATATATAGGGGACATGTACCAAAAATAATGCTTGAAGAATTTTACCTTGAACCTCCTTTTCCTTTGTATTTTACATTTTCATTTGTTTGTTTACACTTGAAAACTGAGTAAAATATAGTTTTATGTATCTAAAAGTCACAATTTTACCAAAGTCCTATTTTCTGCTTCCAATGGGAACCCACTTTTCCAGACCACTGTAATTGTCTTGGCTTTCCCATGAGTTAAAGATTGCAACCTGGACCCACTACTGGAGAGACAATAGAAACTCTTTTTGATACAGTTTTCACACTTAGACAAAACATACTTTACACAAAAAAATGGATTATAATGCTACTTACATAAGTCATGTATTAGTGAATTTAAGTACTGTTAATTGTAAAAGTAAATTTATGACCAAATTATGAAAAAATTGACAGTGCCATGAATACTGGTAACACAGGACATAGTGTTATTTGAACACTACCCCCAGTTTTACAACACCTGACTGATTTGGGGTCAGCCTTACTGCTCTCAACTTCTATAATTTTATGTAGATCTAGACTACTATCTGGTTTTGAAAGTTGTTACATAAAACTTAGAAATATTGACAGCAAGATAAAATAGGCATAGCTGACAGTTTTTCAACACATGATCTTGCAGTTTTCAAGACCAGAACTGATGCATCGTAAATTATGATATACACTACTTGGATTTTAAATTACCTTGTCTTTATCAAAATACCTATTCATATTTGTTCTCTTACATTTGGCAAGCTTTATGTATGTAACATTTTTTATTGAACGTAAGCTCAAAATCTATGATTAATTTTGTGTGCATCAGCGCTGCAAAATGTATTGGTTTCTAAAGGCTACACTGCATTTATCACAACATGAATATATTAGGAATCAAAACCCGAAGTCATACTACAGGTCATGGTTTAAAAAAGTACGCACAGTGAGAAAATAAATTATTATGAACTAAAATAAAAGTGTCTGCCTAATTCTTTCAAAAAGAAAAGGAAACTTACAGATCCTTGTGCTGAAACACAGAGCTGCCGTGTTCTTTGAAAGGTGTTAGGTTCTTGGCTGTGCCAGTTAGAGAATTTTACTGGAGTGCTATCTGACCACTCAAAAACAACAGGGGTGTTATTACTGTATAACCCAATCCACGTTTCAGTTACATTTTCTGTAAAAGAATAAGCGAGTTCAGATTTTAATGGTGAAGAAATGCCTGTTGTTTGTGTAACATCGACACCACCATTAAAAATTATTCATGGGGTTTTCTTAAGAATTATCTTGTTTCAGGAAAAAAAAAGCTGTGTAAACTTCAGGAAACCTTACTGATGAGATAATGTTCTACTGCCCTTGAAGACTAAATTGTTTGAAAAATAGATCAACGTACGCAGCAATATGCTCTGAAATCCTGAAAAATACAAATCAAGAGCACATGCACTTTTTTGAAGTGCTTGGGGCGGAAAGCCCAACATGGAAGGGAAAGATTTCTTCTTATAATCTTCCTTGGCACACTCAGCTTTAGGTTTCTCTGAGTGATGTTTGTAAGTTCCAGTGACAGCACAGTTGCAGCCATAGTGGCTGGCAAACAGGAACGACAAGGCTAGCAGTTTGATGTAATGTCTTACTTGACCAGCTACTACAGCCAGAAAAAGTAGACAGGCTTTCAGGCATGTAAGCCCTTCTCCTGAATAGAAGCCTGAAGCAGGTCCGAAATAGAAGCAGCAGACTTTGAAGCCAAATAAAGCTGAGAACAACTACATCTATCCATTACAGCATCTCTGGAAATAATGGTATTTGGTATCTATGGAGAGTGTTAATAGAGGTGAGGAAGATGATACAGTGGTTAATCTCCTAAGAGAAAGACAGACAGGACAGCAAAGAGGATGGGTGGCAGGAAGGATGGTAACGGGAGATGATGTCCAGTAAATCCAGTGTAACACACGATCCTGCAACCACAGCTGATGGGACAGACTTGATAAACGTCACTGTGCCCCAGCTCTGGGAAGCTTAAACTCATGGCCAAACTGTGCAGCTTTGCCAGCACACCGATGTCAGCTGGAGGCAAAAAATATTCACTTTTCTTTGCTGCTGTTATGACAACAAAAGTCTTGGCATTGCTGCACCAAAGAACTTTTTTTCATTCAGTTCCTTGTGTAATCCTCATCCGAGTACTGCGTCCAGCTCTGGGGCCCTCAGCACAAGAAGGACATGGACCTGCTGGAGCAGGTCCAGAAGAGGGCCACCAAAATGATCGGAGGGCTGGAGCACCTCTCCTATGAGGCCAGGCTGAGAGAGTTGGGGTTGTTCAGCCTGGAGAAGAGAAGGCTGCGAGGAGACCTTATTGCGGCCTTCCAGTACTTAAAGGGGGTCTACAGGAAGGATGGGGAGAATCTTTTCAGCAAGGCTTGTTGTGACAGGACAAGGAGTAATGGTTTTAAACTAAAGGAGGATAGATTTAGACTGGATATAAGGAAGAAATTTTTTACAATGAGGATGGTGAAGCACTGGAACAGGTTGCCCAGAGAGGTAGTGGAGGCCCCATCCCTGGCAACATTCAAGGTCAGGTTGGACGGGGCTCTGAGCAACCTGATCTGGTTAAAGCTGTCCCTGCTCACTGCAGGGGGGTTGGGCTAGATGACCTCTAAAGGTCCCTTCCAACCCAAAGCATTCTATGATTCTATGGTAATTATGCTACTTCTTAGGACCATGTGGCCTAGCAGAACCCCTTCGATACACCCTGCTGCCATCAAAGGGGACTCTGCCAACATACTAGCAGCAGCAGCAGCAACTTTGCAGTGTAGACAAGGCCAGCTTGAAAGCAAAAGATACTGTGAATTGTTGTTGCTTCTAAGCACAATTCTTGCATAAGGATGATCACTGAATATTTTGCAACAGTTTGCAAGGAACCAGCCAAGACCAGGAAATGACAACAGCTAGTGTATTTGCTGTGGCCTCACTGTGCTTACTTTGTTGATTCATTTCTTTATTCTAAGTATGGTTATTGGAGAAGGTGATGCTATACATTTTTAAGACTCCTAAAAGGAGCATGCATCACGCTTTCTTTTTTTCTAAACATCATTTGGGTGTGCCATGTAATATAGTGCTTAAGTGGCTAACAATGTTAAAGGGTTGCACAAAAGAGCATCACAAAACATTTCCAGAATCACTGAACACTTTAAACTAACTCCCAAAACTCACCACTTTCAAGCAAGTTAAGAAGCAGCTCTGCATCTGCCATGGAGGATATACTAATGAGCCCGCTATTGGCACTTTGGCATGAGATAAAAGCATCGTTCCAGCTCTTCTCCTCTTTATGAAGTCTGTAGCAGTTGCGATTGTGTGGGTACCAGCCAGCATCACAACGAGTTGCATAATACTTCCATGTGTCTTTCAATTAAGCATACAAAGTTTGTGTATATTAGATAGAATTGCCAAGGTTATGCTATGTTCGTAACACATTCAGAGTTATTTTTTTAATCTTCAAATGCTGAAAACAGAGTCATCCAAGATCACTTAAGGAGGCCAAAACACATGCTCCACGGAACATCACCTACCAAGCAAACTGAAATTTCTCCCACTTTATTTTATGATTCAACCATTTGGGCTGCTGGACTAGTGCAAACACACTAATGGATCTGTTATTCAGTTTAAAACGTATTCTATCTCCCTTATTACCTCTGAATCTGATTCAAAGCCAGCTAAAGCTTTTTCAGATGCATTACCTACAAAAAGTTTAGGTAAGTCCTTCCTCACTATCTGAAACAAGTAGGGAAACTTTTTAAGTCATCAGGAAGAAGTTGAACCTATGTAAGTTGTTCTTATCAAAACAAAAACTGATGTTCTAATAAACTCAATTCTGCACTTAACTTTCCCACAGAATGGGAGTCTGAGGCATTCTATGTACTATATATCCTACACTCCTTATATAAACACTTTAAAAAATGTATGTACAATGCTTTTTTTGTATATCAAAAGTACACCATACCATAAAAATAACTGCAAATTTTGAGCTGCATTTATACAACTTTCTTCTCTGTGGGCCACTGGTTAATTCCATTCAAAGCTGAAAACCTATTTTTGAACTCAGCAGTGTGGCTCTATTGTAATATAAAGAGAATGAGCATTCTGTAAGCCTCTGATCATGTAAGGAACGAATTAAATGCTATGTATATTAAAATTATTTGTCAGTTTTAAGACTCTCAACATGTTTTCCAGGACCGCACTTAAACAGAAGAAAGTGTTCTTACATCAGTTAAAGTAAACTGTATTCAGCTTAAACTAGCAAACCCATACATTTAGTCCAGCTAAGACCCTGTTCTGCTGACTTTATATTCAGGTGGCTTTCTCTTGTTCTCCTTCCACACCCACAAACAGGATACAGTACCATTGAGAGACTTACCCAGTGTTTCATGCTCTGTCTTATTTAAATATTTTTTGCATACAAAAGGCAATCCAGATTCACATAAATAACTTTGCCAGCCGTACTTCAATTTTGAACTAATCACTGCACAATGATTTTCTCTAAAACGGGTATCAGAGACATCTGCAAACACATTTTTGAGAAGCACAAAATTACAAAAAAATAAGTTTGTTCTTGTAAAATGGTGTTGTAAGGCTCTCTGCATCTTATTGAATGAATGTATACACATGCCTGCACACCCAAACTTCTAGTAATATTACACCAATACTATGGACAACTGAACATTGACCATGATTTATAAATGTGTGGCAATCCCTCCTCCTTGGCTGCTGCTATCAGATAAGAGGCTGAAATAACCTCTAGTGTCTATGTTATATCTGCTGGTGGACAGACCTCAAGATGTAGCAAACCAAGTCACAAAGCTCATGTTAATGTGCTACTGTTAATTACAGCATGTTAATGTAAACAAATTTAAACTCCTTTCCTCCATGAAACCAGCTAGAGCATAGCTTTTAAATAAGCAACTGGAATCTTAAAAACACCTTTAAAAGTACATGATGAAAGGACTAGATCATGAATGCTTTGAACAGATCCATCTCAATTGATGCTACATCCCTAGAAGGGGCTTTTAGTTCATGAATATGAATAAATACTTCTACAAACAAAAGAGGTACGCTCGTCCACTTGATTCACTTTTCAAACGTAGCTGTAGGAACAACAGTCTTGTATCGAGCTGCAGTTACAGAGAGCATATAATTACACTGCTATAACATATCCAAGAGGAACATCAAGTACTTGCTCTCCAGTTCACAAACACTAGCGGTGCTCCATCTGACCACTGCCAGCCAGCATCTTCCTCCAGGCGATTCAGGCCCGTCCACAGCATCATGTCTGTGGCGTTTAACTGCCCTGAAACAGAAAAAATAAAGTAATACTTCATGCTCTCCCCATGTTTTAAAACACCTACAGATATGTATCTGCTGTCCTGACTTGTTACAACAGGAATAAAACAAAACTTCAAATCAGTCTCCAGAAAGTTCAGGCTGCTTTTAGTGTCCTTAGAAGAAGTCTATTACTTTGTTAATCAACACAGAGATGAAAAGGAATAAACTCACAAGTCTGCATCCTTCAAGAGCTACTCATCCTGCAAACCCTTCCTGCAGAAGTTGTTGCTGACCTTAGAAGTTAAATCTAGAACAAGCAGCTACATAAATGCTAGCCTGTTTCAGCTTTCCGTAAACCAAACAACTTTCAGTCCCTTTACAGCCTGCAGGCATATCAAAAAGCAAATGAAATAATGTTTAAAACTTCCTGTTAGCTTATATCCTGCAATTGAAAATCAGCAATAATGGGAAGCAACGGGCAAGAAACCTGAGGCAGCCTTTCACATCACAGCTCTACCACCCATTCCTCCGCTTGGTCCTCTCCACGCACACTAAAATACCCACAAAAGCCATGCTGTCACAAGGCTCTGCAAAACTTGTCTGAGATGCTTGCTGCACAAGGGAAAGCAAAAAGCTTATCAGAGAAGGAATACCATCCATTTATGAAAACAGACTTGGCATTTTTCCCATACAGGACATTTAGTTCAAGCCTGCAGAAATGTTCTTGTCATTCACATTTGGTGAAGTCCAGCTTGCAAAGAAAACTTAACAGGAGAAAGGGACACCAGGATACATTGCAGAGAAGGTAAATATTTGTATAATTCTGCAAAGAAAACAAACACACTCCATAACTCTAGCTGCAAGAATGAATGGGAGTCTCTGTGGGGAGGGAGAATTAAGACAATTACACCCTCACATAACACATACCACCACTTCTGCACTCGGGTTATTAAGGTCGTAACTCACCTTCACCCTTGCTTTTGCAACCAGCTCTACTGAGGTGTGTTATGTGACAAAGCCTCGCGAGCAGCAATGGGAGAGACATCACACAGAATACTAAGCTCCAAAGCTTACCCCTTTTTCACAGGTAAAGAGGAAACCTAACTACAGGCTTCCAACAAGGTCCCCAGAGAAATGTCTACTCACTGCTTAAGTTACTTATGTAGTTCTGCTCTTCAGGGTCGGTGACACTGAGCAGGTCTCCTCCTTGCAGCTGACAGGCAGCCCGTGCCTCACGCCAGGTCAGCACAGATGCGAGGTTGAACTGGTAGCAAACGTGCGTGTCAGGGTTCTTCTTCCAAAAAACATCGCAGCCGCTCTCTGCTCAAAAACAGACTCGTCACCAACAGCCCAAGACTACAAACTAATCAGAAATATAACACCTTGAACAATTCAATTAATTAATGACAGCATCCCACTGGAAGCACGATTATGAAGTCCTTTCACGTTCCTTTGTTAAAGAACACATAGAAACAGGGCACTAACGGAATAAAATGTTGCTCCATATTTCATACGGTTGATAAAATACTCGGGAGCTGACCTGCTGCTGGTGGTGATTTTCACACCTCTCATGAAGCCAACAGAGCTATGTTTTCATTTACACCAGCTGATCATTTGTTCCTAAAGCTGAATGTTGAAATATTCAAAATATGAACACCTCACCCAACTTGTGGAGGAGCAGCCACTGGATCTCCTTCTATCTTGTACTCAAGAGAATAAACTTACTGTAATTACAAAATATAAGCAAGGCCGAAAATACCATCTATTATAATCGTTGCCCAGAAATGTGCATGACAGAGACACATTTACAGCTGGTTTTAAGATGCTTTGGAACAGAGATCTGAAATGTAGCTTAAGCAAGGAGGGTTTTTCCAAACCACTTCTGCTGATAGAAGATACTGTTTTGCTTATTCATGCAAGAAGCTGGAATATTTGTGAAGATTATACATGCAAAATCTTTCTGGTAGCAAGTATTTTTAAAGCCACTGCTTCTAAGTTTTTTAGGCCCAAGACGTGTCCAGGTAGCGCACAGAAGAAAAGGAATGTGCAAGACCTAATGCAGTCAAAAGCAGAAGGCGACTTTGCAAGAGCAGCCCTTGCTTTCAGAGCAGCTCCCTATACATCACTGGGACAGAGGAGAGCGAGGTTTAGCTGCAGGGTAAGGTAGTAGAGGTAGTAGTAGTAGGTAGTAGTAGAGGTAGTAGTAAGGTACTGCGCAGAGTAACATCCCTGTGCTCACCCCCTGTAGTTTTGCTTCTGGGATGAGGAATTGGGTCTCAAAAGGCCAAATGTGACAAATTATGATAAAATTTGCTGCAGTCTTCTTTTATGTTTTTTTAAAAGAGACATTCCCCTCTAACAGAAGGGATGTAATCCAAGACAGAGTGCGTCCTAGAATTACTAATAAAGAGCAAAGATACTCTTGGTGGGGTGGGGGGAGAGAGAGGACAAGCAACAACTTACCAGCCTTTGGGCAAAACCCCCATTTTTCATCTTGTTCATAGTGAGTTGTTGTGGCACACCAGTCAAACTCCTTTCCATCTCTGGTACACTCGTAATACCACTTGTTGTTATATTTAAATGGAAAAATGCATGGGAAACCAAAAGAATTTCCCAGCAAGGTGTATATTTCTGGAATAAACAAAATGCAGAGATTAAAAGAATGCAGACTGCAAAAATTTCTTTGCCCCCATATTTCATTATTCCCATTTTTAGCAGCAACGATAAAATGTCTAAAGTTATTTTCTAATTTTAATTTATAATTGATAATACAGCATTACAAGTATGAGCAGCATAATTTCAGTGAACAGAATTTGGAAACAATAGTTCAGAAAATTTGTCACCATGAAGCAAGGTACATCCTCATAATTTACTACAATGGGGGGGGAGGGAACCAAACCAAAACCTGAACAATTAACATATAAAATCTGCACTTACATTTCAGAACAACTACATAAAACAATAGTTAGTAGAATCAGTACACGCTCAGATGTAAACTCTACTTTTTTATTTGTTAGTCTACGAGAGACGAGCAAACTAGCATTATTTCCCCTGCTCCTCCCACTCTTTATAAAGTGGATTTCTAATGCTTTTTCCATTCTCTTTGTCATTCTATGGGAAAGGAGATGCGAAAGAGAAAGGAATGTTAAATAAACTTTTAAAAATAAGTTTTTATACCATGGGGAATAATAATCTAGCTAAAGAACTGATGTTACATGCATCTGTTGTCACAATCAATTAATGTCTTATAAAACATTTAAAATATTTTCCTATTGTACTTTGAGTACCAAAATATTGAGAATCCAGTGCAACTGAAAGCTGTAAAAGCTTTACCTTAGTGTCTCCTTAACCTCAGAGCCTCTACAAAAGGTCAAAAAACCACAGTCACACTTAGATGGAAACTGTTTGTCAAAGATCCCATGTTGATAGCCTAAAGATCAAAGTCCTTCAACTACAGAATCAGTACATAGTGCCAGGTTCCTAGAGGTTTCCAGAGTTAATGGCTGGCTGCACACATATAAAAAAAGCAGTTTACACACTGAAAATCCCCTTTAAAGCCTTCTGATATGAACAGATGATACAAAGAACATGGGCAAAAAAAAAAAAAAAAAAAATCAGGATTGCTTCTCTTGTCTGCCCGCTACCATGCTGCTAGCTACGAGGTGCAAAGGATTATCTCAGTCCTGGCAAGAGGCCAAATTCGACAGTTATAGACCTCTAGCCACAGTTATACACATTTTTTCTTTGAAGGTGGAAATGCCCCCCCTACCTGGTGGACTAACAGGCGGGCTTGCATTTGCATGTGCATAAGCTAAGGTAGAAGGAGAAAAATAGAAACTGGAGGTGAAAGAGATTTTGCCAAAGCAATTAATTACTTTGGTCCTGAAACTAGGCTGTAAGTGCCTGCCTAAGGCTAATCCTCTTCTCCCAGATGTTGTCGTACTAGGGCTAAACCAGGTCTACTTTCATCTCGCTATGTGTACATAGCAAACGTGTAAGGCTTTTTGTGGGTTTAAATATTTTCTGTCTGGTCTTGAGTATAAACTCCACTAGGTTTTGAAGAAGAGGTTGGACGCTATAGTGCCTTCCCAGTTATCACAGCTCCCAAAGGAATGATTTTGGAGTTTGCAGAGGCCAAGCCCACCTACACCTACAGAGGAAACCGCTGAGATCAGATCTGCAACCCAAACACCCAGTTCAAATGGGGAGAATCAACAGCCTGAGACATGCTGTACAAACATTAGGTCTTTCCTTCTACAGAAATGCCGAGGAAGGGGTCAAGGTACAGTCTGTCTGTTGCTGTTTGTAGTCAATGGGTTTATCTTAGTCCTTATACACGGAAAACTGTTCAGGTCTGCAGACCTGGATCTTGACATACATTCCTATGCCTCTGCTAGCTGTACAGCAGGATTAATCAAAAGCCTGATCTCTGCTCCAAAGTTTGGCACGTTCAGAGTCCAGGTGCTGAACGCTGCAAACATTCGGTTCATGCACACTGCAATCACAGACTGATTTTCAGCGATGGGAATTCCAAATCCCTTGTTCTCTCTCTTTGGGTTCATCTGATAACGAAAGCTGCAGGACAGGCAACAGCAAATTCTTAGTTCCCCTTTTTATTTTATAGAGGATTTGAAATGAGCATTTCCTGGTTTGCAAGGATACTGGTGCTTTTTTGGGTCCACATAACAGATAAAGAAGAAAATAAATTCTGTGGTATGCTCACCTCAACCACTGTATATAAAAAACCAAACCACAATAGAGGCTGGAAGGGACCATAAGCACCTGCCCTTGCTTCAAAAGAACATTTGAAAACTTTTCCTATCTACATTTCTGTAACAAAATTTTACTTTTACCTTGAAATGGGTGTTCACAAAGGTCTTCATCGTAGGACATGTACTGTTTCCACTGATAAGTAGATTTTTTTTTGGCCACAATACGTTTGCTGTTTTCAACAGCTAATTTGTACTCTGATACGCCAACTAATGCTTTTCCATCACAATTCCACCATAATGAGTATTGAGTTGAATCACACTCAAGCATACTTAACGGCTGTTCTGGTCTACTGATGTTCAGTCCTAGACAGGTACTTCTGCCTATGTTGAAAAGACGGCGATTGGATACCCATTTCCATAGCATGTCTTTTGAGAGTTGACCGCAGTCTTCCAGAACAAGGCCAACTGCGTTCACTTTAATGCACAAGTTGGAGTCTTCACTTTGGATAATAAATATCCCTTTATCTGTAGGGAAAAAAAAAAAGAAGTTTCAGTCTGCAGAATACTGCAATTGATCAAACAGGATCAAAAGACAAATGTTTTAGTTGGAGCTGTTTAGGAAGAAAACTGAAAATATCCATCAGAATAACTGGCACTTCAAAAAAATAAGAGCACTGGTCTAAATTTACTGCCAACTGCGTTTTTAACATGTGGACCACTTGCAAGATCACAAAAATAAGGCTAGATAGTATCTCTCAAGCTGGATAGCCAAAAAAAAAAATGGGGTGCCCAAAACCATCAGTCATGTTCAAAGAAAAAAAAAACCACTGGTCACTAAGAAATACCCAGTAATAGAGTACAGGTTTAAGTGTTACAAGAAGCCATACCGTATATTGTGAAATAATTCTCAGGGGGGGATTGAAGAGTGCAATTAAAGTAAAAGTTAAAAAGTTTAAGGCTGACATTGCCATATTCTCTGCCACATTCATTCTTCACTCTCTGCAACTATAGAGGCAGAAAGAAACTATTTTGCATTCTAAAACAGGATACAGAAAGGGTAGGATTTATCTATACCATGAGAACTGTCGGCCAAGGGTTAAAGTATGCCTTCCCTATTGGATGCATATTTTCAACCATACATGACTACCCTGGACCACAGCAGATGTTGCAGGGTTAGCCTGACATCCCAGCTTTCTTGGAATCATGAAGAAACTCACTGAACTATGTGACATCACATTGTAAGTATGTGGAAAAAAAAGTCAGCTGTTTAACGTCCTGGGAGCAAATGTTTAGCTGAGCATATAGACTGAAAAAAATGAGGACAGCTGAGGAACTGGAAATCAGCAAATATAAACCTATAACAGCTCAGCTATTTCATTCACTCTGAAATCCAATGGTAATTAACCCATGGAGTTCCTCTCATGTTATAGGCGAGATATTTATTTTACGCCTCGGGAGATTATGTGTTGAAAACCTGAGCAACACTTCCATTTTGCCTTGAAATTTTACAGTGATGATTTCTACCACATGTGCTTTCTAGCTGCTGTAATTCACTACACCTAACATCCTGAAGCAGTAACCATAATAAAAAACCCCTCTCAAACTGACATAGCCCGTATCTAAAGTATGAGATGCAGAGGTCCACCCAGATGCTGTGTGTCAATTTAGTATATACAGTTTAGGTGTAGCTCTAGAAAAAGATTTTTCAAGCAGCAGTGGAACAGTGCCGTGTGAGAGACAGACAGGAGATCTGCTCACCAATGTAATGTGCACACAACAAGCAGAACGGAGAGGATATAGATAATGGAGAGGTTTTTGGTTACAGATTCTGCACAGAGCACATCAAGCAGTCTGACTTACAGAGAGGAGAGTCACACTACAGTATCACTGATAATGGGCTGTTTTCCACATGGCCATAGGCACTGGTAGCTTGTGATGGTGCGGGAGCAGGGGCAAGCCTTTCCAGCTGGCAGCAGGTGAGAGCCAGCCTGCTACATGTACCTGCATCTCCCAGGCACCTAGCAGCTGTCCTACATTAAGTCCCTAACTGTTTGGGGCAAGCAAGGTTCCTTTAATCCACCTTATTTCTACAGCTCTCGGGTGTCTGAGCTCACTAAAAAAACATCAGACAACACTGTGACAGATTCCCAGCTTGGCCCTTCGATTTGAGGTTTCTGTGAGGTTGTGCAGTTTGTGCTGGTTTCATCCTTCTTATCCAACCCACTCCTCCACGGGTGACGCAGGCATCTCTATCTACATGGCCAGAAAGGGGTTTTGCCTTTCACGCTAGGGTATGTCTTGCCCACAGCGGTCTTATCTTGGTTGACCAAGAAAATACACAGTTAATTTGCTAGATAAGTGGAAGCTGGGATGTTGTTAGCACCAGTAAACACTGATTAACAAGGTTAATTCACCATGATACTGGGATTCACACTTAACTGAAGTTCTTATGCAAACTCCCAATCTATCTCCACCTCGACAGCCCACAGCAGCTCCCACGCAGCAACTTCTTGGGGATGGGGGGAGCAATGCCACAACCCAGGGATGAAGGATTCTCAACCTTTGAATGCCTTTATCTGTAAAGCTTTGCAAAGAAGGTGCAATGACTGCTGAGAAAAGATAAGGGTCTTACACAGTCTACACAAGTAACCCAGCTGGAGGATCTCTGTGAATAACAGAGCACTTCCCTTTTGCATTCTGCAACAACTTATGCCAAGAACAGCCAGACCATCATTCTTGAGCCACTCAGCCCCCTTTCGAATGTGGTTTCCGCTCCCCAACTGCAAAACGCAATTGGCAAGAGAGCTGTGCTGGCCTGAGGACTGCCAGGTAACTGCCAGCTCAAGGCAGAAGACACAAGAGCTGGCAGGCTCAGAGATGGCTCCATGGGCCCCTGCTCAGCCCTCTCCTCAAGTGGGGCAACGAGACAAGTGGAGCAATACTAAGCCTCGGGAACACCTCTAGTGCTCCCCTCCTTTCAGCTTGCAAAGCTACACCATCCATGTTACAGGTGCTCTCATGGAAGGGTTTTGTTACAAAACTCCTAGGGTCAGGGAGGATTCTTTGCCCAAAATCCTGCAGATGAAGAGCTGCAAAGGGCTCTATAAGCTTACAAGCCCGAGAGGACCCAAGGAGATAGCCTATGCTTTAGGAATTGACAGGGTGGCGGGAGGCCTTTGGAAACATCCTGCTTTTCCTACCTCCGGGCCCCACCATACAAGGACAAGGTGACAAGAAACAAAGTCCCAGAAGCAAAGCCTCAAGCTGATGTGAAGCCACAGATGAAGAGCTCATAGCTGACCCATACCCTGAAGTTCCTATTTAGGTTCAACACAGCTAACAGTGAGTAAACAGCTGTAACAGAACTAGGAGAACAAGATATCTTCACTTCCTTCCTCCTCACCTCCCACTTCCTTCCCGCCTCTCCAAGCGGTGAGAATTGCTTATGCAGAAATAGAGAAAACTGGAATTTCTTGGGAATGATTAAAAAAAAAACATCTATACCCCCTCCAGGTGCAGCGAAAGCAATGGGCAGCAGCATAATAAGCGGGGAAGATGAAAAGGGGCGCAAGGCACAGCCAGCGGGGCAGGTTCGCACGGGTTCAGTGCCTGCCCTCGGCCCCTCACCCCTGTGCCCAAACCCCTCACCCCTGTGCCCAAACCCTCCTGGCCCGGGTGGGGCT